CAAGGTAGAATCCCAAACCAGGTGTGATTTTTTTTTTTTTTTTTTTATTTTTCCGACTCAAAAGAGTCACGCCTCTAGGTTCACACCCAGAAGGCTGAAGCTGGGCAGCCGAGTTCCAACGGGAGTGCAGCACAGGAAGATCAGTGATGAATCTGGAGAACGGCATTAAGACATTCTGGCGCCTTTATTGGCTGATGGGACGCAGAAGAGGACTTTTTTTTTACTTTTTGGGAGTTCTTGCATAGGCAGGTTAAAAGGGGGGGTAGCGAATGGCTGGAGTTCTTGGGGATCGAAGCAAGGGTTATTTTCGACCCAGGAACAAACGATAGGATGGATAACGGCGAAAGAAAGAAGAGTTCTGCAGTCTACTTAAACCGGGATGTTTTTGCATCCGTTGATAAGTTGTGGAAATGCGAAATATGGAATTGGAACCCTGGGAATGCGTGGAGACTGCCCAGGTGTCTCCGGAAATAACTAAAGCATATATCAAGGGAGTCCGGTACGGTAATTTGCTGCTCCGTGGGCGTAAGCCCTTTTTGTATGTTATCCACAAGCATGCTACAAGTTGCTTTGGTCGCCTTTCATGCTTGAAACATTGCGCTGCTTGGTACTGAGGGGGGCTCAGCTGTATGACACTGAAGGGGAACATCAGATAACATCAAAGTCACATCAGAGTCATTCTGATGCAGCTTCTTGATGCGATCAGGATTACAGTTGAACATGAAATTTAAACGTCAGCTCTGAAGGAAGCACCAGGGAAGTAGTTGGATAATAGTCAGTAGTATTGCAGATTGTTGTTCACTGCCAGATGGATCTATTCTGTGCTGGTGCTGACACTTCCATGCCACAGAATGGCTTGTAATAATTCTCTGTAGAGGGATATATGTAATATGGTTATACAGTCTGTACTACAGCGTACATATCTGGGCCCGAATGGGCGTGGTAACACACTGATATACACACATGAGTTCCTCCCACCTTACCCCCACCATTTCCCTCCCGTGTCCCAGCTTTTCCCACCCACGCCCCACTGACCACACCGGCCAAGGCAGCTGGAGTAAGCCTGGGATGTAGTATTCTTCTGCCTGAATGACGGTTGGTACATACAGATAGAAGTACCTCCAGTACATGTATGTTACCAGGGTTCACCTTGACTAGTTAGTTAATTCTCTAACTAACTTAACTAGTTACCTTCGACTAACTAACTCCACCACAGAGCGAAATTCCCTAGGTTCTGGGTGCAAGACGCAACTAGTATGTCATCAATTTGGGATGAATATGTAGAAACTCTATTTAGAGAAAGGATTCGAGTTTAAGTCTTCTCAATTACTGAGGCTGCATGTCTATTTAAATATATTTTATATCATTTCACATTATTGAGCATATTAATGATATGAAAATCTAAGCTAACTACATATAAATTCATATAAATTAGTTGACTGGAGACTGAAGAGAAATTTATGTGTATTTTGTAAGTTGATATGAAAACTAAGTTTTTAACTTACTAGTTATACTTGACTTCTCTTAATAGTCTTAGTCCCTCAGTCTCAGCATCATTCTCATGAGTTTCATCACAGTGCGGTACCTGTGATTCTCATGAACATAGAAGAACTACTAGTGTAACTTAAACTAAATTGTTTAGTTGTTGCTGAGTGTAGATAATTCAGAGTGCAATCTATCTAATTAGTTGAAAAGTAGCAATTTTATCTTTCGCTTGATAAGAATTTCGCTGTGGTGGATTACGTTACCTCCTCCCACCAGGCTCATCTCATCCCAATTCGTTCATCTCGCTCCCTCCGTCTCCTCTTCAAACTCCAAACCTCTCTCTCACTATCCATCCCAATATCATCAATCCCTCGTTTCTCTCATACCCCACCAACCTCATTTCTGTCGCTGTCCTCGATATCCCTCTTCCTCTTCTCAGTTGTCCGCTGTGTCCGTGTCTGGCCTTGTTGAACCAAAACCCTTCCCGCTCATCTATCAATCTTTCACACACCCCCTCGCAAACCTTTTCTCCCTACCTCGTCCCGGTCCCGTAGACATCTGCTCTTCAACCCCACTCATTTCTTTCTCGCTACCAGCCAGTCGTACGATACCGTCTAAATAAGAAGAATCCGCTCCTTTCATTATTTATTGATATCTCTCCTGGCCCAAACCCCAACAGTGCTGCCATCCATCCCCTTCCAGATCTGGCCTCTTTCGAGTCCAGAGGGACTACCATCATAACCATTCCTCTCATCAGGATCACCACAGTTGCCTGCCGTGGGCTTTATTTGTTGCCTCTTTGTGTTTTTGTGTTTGTGAGTGAGTGAGTGAGTGAGTGGTTGGTGACCTGCCGTCTCCCAGTTCCATTCTTTGGTGTACTACCGCCAGACATTTTGGACCCGGCCCCCCTCTTTCGTGGGCCGCTTTCGAACTATTTACTGGAAGATACATTTACATTTACATGTGCTTCCTCGATCCCAACAGGAACTGAAGGGGAAAAAATAAAAAATATAAAAAAAAAAAATAAATAAATAAAATCAAAATAGAAATAAGAGAACAAGAATAAAGAAGGGAAAACGAAAGCAAAGAAACCCAGTGATAACCAGACCAGAGACTCCGTTTTCGCTTTCTTTATCAGCCGTTAAGACTCCCACCAAATTCCAAAACCAGCACAACGAATGGTTTACGACAATGCGATAGAATATCCACTTCTTGCTCTTCCAATTTTGGCCCCCAGAACCCCTTTTCTTCCTCTCCTCCTCCCACCCCTCTCCCATAAGAAGTATCAATCAAACCATGTACCTTTCTCGAAATGCTGTCCCTCTGACGGTCAACTCGAAATCCGTTTTGAATGCGAAATCCGGCAATTTTGCTTCAGCTGCCTTTCACTACACTGAAGGCCAACCATCTTCCAACGACGACTCCCGGTACCATTCCAATAACCAAACCTTCTCCCACACACACATGGCGACACTTCACGGAGGCGATGCATACAATACTACAAACAACAACGGGGGAGCTGAAGAAGGTTCGAAATGGCTTTATTTATATCCTTTTTCATTATGTTAC